GGCGCCACCGCCTCCTGCCTGGCGACACGCGCCGCCACGCGCCCTCCACACAGCCACATACTTCTACTCAACTCGTCATCTGATTTCCAGTTCTGATCGGCTCCCCGGGCGGCGCTGACGTGGCGCGAGGCCGCCCGCGAGCCTCCGCGAGGGCGTCAGGTGCGCCTCCCTCGGCGGCCTTCCTTCGGCCCGAGCGGGCGGGCGCGCGTGTCGCCGGCTCAAACGAACACCAACTTCGGGAAGGCGGTGTTGCAGGCTGTTGCCAACCGCTTGCACTTGTGTCACCAATAATAGGAGGCAACGACACCCGCGCGCGACACGGCACCTGGCACTCCGACCGCGATTACGGCACACGGGAATGCCAAGCGCGGCGCCGGGGCTATGGAGTTCCGTAACAAGTTCCTGGCGGGCGCGTCGCCGCCTCGCGGGCACGGGGCGGAGGGGGCATCGCCACTCCGCCCCTATGCCGCCCACGTCCGCTTCTGGCACCCTGGAAGGAGCTCCTGCCCCTGAGCCCGGTGGCATTCTGGCATAAGCGAGCGCCGCCCGAGCCCGGAGTCAGATGCCTGGACGCACGCCATGGCTGCTCCGAGCGCGTGCAGACGTCCACCGCCGCACCACAGCTGTGGCTTCCCTCGCCCCCTCGGCGCTCGCGAGGGCCGTCTCGATTCCTCCAAACGCCTTTCGCTCTCCTCCTCGCGATCCCTCTCTCTCTACTTAAGTAATGATCCACGTCGTTACACTTACATTCTTTTGATCCCCCTCCACCCCCACTTAGCCCACCCCCCTGCCCCCTCCCCCTCCTCCCCCTACGCCTCCAGAAAGAATCTGAACACTCTCTCATGCCACACATTCTTCGCTATTGATCACCTCGGCGCTGCTGAGCCCCGTGCCCCGCGCCCCCTTCCCGAACGAGGCTCTCGCGCTCTCTCTCTCTTCTCTTGCTATCGCTCTCCCTCTCTTGCTATCGCTCTCTCTTTTCTCTCTCTCTCTCTCTCGCTATCGCTCTATCGCTCTCTTTCTCTCTCTTCCTATCGCTCTCTCTCTCTCTCTCTCTCTCTCTCTCTCTCTCTCTCTCTCTCTCTCTCTCTCTCTCTCTCTCTCTTCTCTCTCTCTCTCTCTCTCTCTCTCTTTCTCTCTCTCTCTCTCTCTCTCTCTCTCTCTCTCTTGGAAGAAAAAAAGAAAAAAAAAGAAAAATAAAGAAGAAAAAAAGAAAATGAAAGAAACAAAAACAAAAACAAAGGTAACAAGAATAAAAAAAGAAGAAAGAAAGAAAACGGAGAGAAAGAAAGAAAGAAAACAGAAAAAAGAGAAAAAGAAAAAGAAAACAAAGAGAAAGAAAAAAAGAAAACAAGAAAAAAAGAAAAGAGAAAAAGAAAACAGAAAGAAAGAAAAGAGAAAAGAGAAAGAGAAAAAAGAAACAGAAGAGAAAAGAAAAGGAAAACAGAAAGAAAGAAAACAGAGAAAAGAGAAAGAAAAAAAGAAAACAAAGAAAGAAAGAAGAAAAACAGAGAAGAGAAAAGAGACAAAGAAAACCGAGAAAGAGAGAGAGAAAACCGAATTAAACGGCCGCCGGTGTCCGTTAACGAGCGGCCGCCGACGCGCGCCACTGCGCCACGGCCCGGCGGGAGATGGCGGTAATTAAGCCGAATTTCGTGACGCCGCCAAAGGCCTCTCGCCGGCTCTCCGACACACGCGCGCACGCACACACAATACGACCCGGACGCACACGCACATCCCGACCGCACACGGGGAGACTGTCGCCGCACACGCACGCACGCACACACAAAACGACCCGGACGCACACGCACATCCCGACACAAACGCACACGGGGAGACTGTCGCCGCACACGCACGCACGCACACACAATACGACCCGGACGCACACGCACATCCCGACACAGACGCACACGGGACACGCACAAGGGGGGAGACTGTCGCCGCACACGCACGCACGCACGCACGCGCGCAGAAACAATAACAGCTCTGAACAAAAGACGGTCAAAATGGCCTGCTCCGACGGCCGTTTAATCGCCTGATTCGGTTCAAAAGGAGCGCGTGTTTTGCGGGCTGAAGGGGGGGGGGGGGCGGAGTCAGGGGGGGCGGCGTGTCAGGGAAGCTCTCCTGCCGTCCACACACACACGTGCACGCAAATATATTTATTAAAAAACAATATGCATACCTACATACATACATTTATATGTATGTATGTACGTATGTATGTATGATATATAATATATATATATATATATATATTATATATATATATATATTATATTATATATATATATATTATACACACACACATTGGAAAAAAAAAATATATATACGTATATATATATGCACTTACACATATACACAGACCTACAGAAATACATCTATAAACCACAGAGGAAGGCTAAACGGGAGGCCCAGGGAGGCGCAATCTGCCGAGCCGACAACCCGCCCGGAGCCGCCCACGCCCTCCGCCCGCGCCCCCCCCGCCCCCGCAGCGCCGGAGCTGGCTAGTGCGCTCCCCCTGGCACCGCGCAGGCATCCCAGGCACAGACTGGCACTAAGAGACAAAAGGCGCTAGCTGCTTACGCCATGCATGGAAGAGGGAAAAGGGGGAAAAACCAGGCATAAATGGACTGCTTGCGAAGAGAGGGTCTAGAGAGACAAGTCCCGTTTACGCTCAAAATAAAAGACCAAAAAAAGACGGCCGTCCCAAGAGAGGACTTCCGTTTAGCGATCAAGCACCGCGCCAACCCTAGCAAGAGCTGCTCGCTTGCTCGCTTGCGGCTAGCACTCTCCTGCTCGACTTGCGCTCGCTACCAGCTGTCCCTTCGCTGCTGCTACCGTTGCCATAGCGAGAGACACAATATACACTTAAAAAAAAAAAAAAAATGGAGGGACACAAGTTCGGTATTTCTCGCGCTTATAAAAAAAAACAAATAAATAAATAAAATAAATATCCTGCTGTTGCTGCTACTGCTGTTATTCTGCCTCGCTGCTTAAGAAAGGAAGGCAATGCGGGGGAGAGACGGTGCTGCAACAAGAACCATTTAGCTACTGTATCTTTTAAAATCTCTTTCATCAACTATTTCTTTTTTTTAATCCCTTGCTGCTGTCTTAATCATGAAACAAGGACTCAGAACACAGCAATTAATGTTTACTCCGAAAGACAACCATTTACCAAAGACAAAAAGGGGAAGAAACCAAAAGAAATAAAAAGGAATCTTGAGGAAAGCCAAAATCCGAAGTCCTCGTCGGGATCACAGCTGTCCCGAGTGATCCGATTTTTTTTTTTAAAACATCAAAAATTATTGGGACGACGAAGAAGAAGAAGAAGAGGATAAAGAGACAAACCAAACGAGGGAGAATTCTGATAAATATGTAAATGGGAGAAAAAATTGAATAAACAGGAGAGGCGCAAAATGCAAACGTTAAACCATAAAGACCACCTACCCCCCCCTCAAAAAAAAAAAAAAAAAAAAAAAAAAAAAAAAAAGGGGGGGGGGGGGAGATGGCTTCACAAACCTCCTTCAGCGAAGATCCTCCGCTTCAGCCGATCCTGAAATTCTGAAATACGGGGGTTCCTATTCCCTCTTTTATACTCATTCATTTTTTTTATTTTTATTTGTACCATGCACAAAACAACAACAAAAACAACAACAAAAACAAATTCACTATGTACTCACTTGTTCTTTTTCTCCAATATTTGTAAGGGAAATCTAATAACTAGGGAGAGAGAAATAGACATAGGAAAATGGGACTTCCTAACGCTATGTAAACACATCAATTTTTTCCCCTTTCTGAAAACCCGAAGAAAATGCAAGGAAAAAAAAAGCCTAAATCGAAGAAAAATAGGCCTAGGGTCGAAAGTAGGCCTATATCGGAAGAGGCCTAGGTCGAAAAGGGTCAAATATAACACTCATAAAACATCTATATTGAATAATAAAACTACATTAAAAATATTCCCATATCAAAAAGGGCTTCCATTTTTTTTTCTTCTCCATTTCTGATCCTTCCTTCCTTCCTTCCTTCCTTCCTTCTTCCTTTCTTCCTCCCTTCCTTCCTTCCTTCCTTCCTTCCTTCCTTCGTCCCTCCGTCGTTCGCTGTCTGGTCGTGATGGTATCGGTACAGGGACCACTGAGATACCACCAGCTGTGTTCACACTTCGGAAGCCATGTGAACTCAGGATGGTTCTCGTGGTACCTGGCCAAGAGAGGGGGGAGGGGGGAGGGGGCCTGGAAGGAGGGGGGTGGGGGTGGCAGGCCGGACGATGAAGGCAGATATTCGGTCTTGTTGTTGTTGTTGTTGATGATGTTGTTTTTCTTGCTTTTCTTCTTGTTCCGTTTAGGGCCTTTTTTGCGGTTTCCTCTTTGTGTGTGTGTGTGTGTGTGTGTGTGTGTGTGTGTGTGTGTGTGTGTGTGTGTGTGTGTGTGTGTGTGTGTGTGTGTGTGTGTGTGTGTGTGTGTGTGTGTGTGTGTGTGTGTGTGTGTGTGTCTTTGCGCGTGCGTGCGTGCATGTATGCGTGTTTCAACGGTCTTTATACATGTGTGCGTGTCTGTGTCCGTGCGTATGCGTGCAGAGAGCCGAGCCCCGTGGACGTCCGGTGCCTGCGTGCGTCCTTGCGAAACCCTGAGATAATGAGTCCACAGCGGACGGCAGCTTCGAGGTCCTCCTCCTCCTCCGACGGCGTCTTGCAATCTCCTCCCGCGCCTCCTCCTTCGCAATCGGCTCCAACGGCACTGCACGCCCGCCGTCCCGCCCTCCCCGCCGCGGCTCTCGCCTCCCGGGAGACGCGGCACCAAACAAACCTACCAGCCTACCTACCCAACCCTGCCAGTCTCCGTCACGGCAGGACCCCATGACGCGACAACGCGCCTCAACCCTACCCATAAAACAAACCCTAAAACCCTCAATCCTACCCCCTCAACCCCTTCCCCTTCCCTCTCTCCCCCCAACCCTTCCTCCCTCCCCACCGCCCAACCCCTCCTCCTCCACCGGGTACTTAC